TCAACGACAAAGAAGCATTGTCTAAGTATATCGAAGCGTTTTACACACTGAGGAAAGTAAGCAGCTTTAGGATATAGTGAAAGCTTCTCTATGTGTTGGTTGGTTGATTCAAGTTTTCGGCTTTTCTGCAGCCTGTTGCATCCACTATTAATACATTGGCGGGTGCGTTGTACAAAGTCTTTTTAGCATCTTCAGATGAAGCGAGAACTGAAATGCGTGAAGCTTGCTTTGATTATCTTAGTCTTGGAGGTGTTTGCTCGTCTGGTCCTATTGCTTTGCTCTCTGGTTTAAACCCTAGTCCTCTGAGTTTGTTTCTACACTTCTTCGCTGTTGCGATATACGCCGTTGGTCGTTTGATGCTACCGTTTCCTTCGATTAAAAGCTTGGAGCTTGGAGCTAGGATCATCTCGGTAATGTGGTTTCCTTCTTATCTTCTGAAACAGAATTGCTTCTATTTCATCTCAGTAAGTGGTTTTCCTCCCATCTTCTGAAATTGCACAAATATTTTGATCTTTGATGTATGTCTTCTTGCTCAGAGTGCTTCAGGGATCATCTTCCCAATCATTAAAGCAGAGGGAGTTAGGCAAATGTTCTTCCCTCGTACTGTTGCTGCTATATACCGTGCTCCTCCTCCTGCTCAATGATGCATCAGGAGGTTATAGACATGAATGCTATAACTTTGAAATCTAATTATGGTTGTTGCTTAATGGTTATCATGTGGGTGATTAGGTTAGATAGCTCTGGAACAAGTGTAAACATAGCTCCTTTTGGTATATATCATCGAGATCAAAGAGTCTTGTAAGTGCATTAACGGAAAAGATTTGTATATCATATCATCTTCTTGTACTTTTAGCGAAAGGAAAACTTTTAAATCTAATAACGTTGTTTGGTAAATGATTATCATTGCGAGCAAAGAGCCTTGTCATTGCATTAACGGAAACACACCAAAGTAACCACCCGAATCTTTCTAGGATCTTATCAGTCACTCAGGACTTTTATTTTGGTGCACTTTGAAGATTTTTTTTTTTAGTCAAATAACTGTCCATATTTATTCTAAACGTAGACTTTGCCTAAAATACAAAGTTACTTTTCCAGGCACTTTTTGTTGTTGTAGTCGTTTTGTTTCTCTAGGCACTTGGTCGTCTAAACGTTGGACTTTATTTAGTTAAATTATTTTAAATACTAATGCAAATGGATCCAAGTTGGTAAATAAAGCCATCTAATGGGCTTCATGAAAGAAAAAAAATTGGTTCATGGGCCTAGACTGTGGTTACCATGTTAAAATTGTAGCAACGAGTTACAAGATATGGTCAAACTCGTTTGTGAAAGACAAAGACAAACCATTTTTATTACATAATACTTAATTTTAGCATAAAGATTTGTGTAGCCTCACTAGATTGGCTTATTTAAATCTTCCTGTCTCTTATTAAACAAACATTAACGGCTACATCTCTTAGATCCACTTCGTTTCTCAATCTCCAAGCATCGATTCAGAAACCTCTCTTCAATCACTGCGGGAGAGTGTCCACAAACGAGCGGCGGCGCTTTGACCTCTGCAAGAACGGTGATGGCGCAAACGATTGTATTGGGTCAATGTATTCTCGGGACATTTTTAGCTTCTCTCTTCGCGTTTGTGCTTCTCTACGTTTTGCGTCGCAGTAGTAACGTTGAGAAATCAAACCGGAGTAAGAAGAACCGTGGCCTCGTCGTTGCTCAGAACGACGACCTATCAAGGAATCTTGCGACGGAGGATGATTCCGGCATTGATGTTATCATCGTTGGAGCTGGTGTTGCAGGTGCCGCACTTGCTTATACACTCGGCAAGGCAAGTCTCTAAATCAATCTCAGATTTTTGTCGGTTTTTTATTTTGCTTTCTCCAAGTTTCCTTCTATTTCTGGATTGTTTGAAATTTTTTGTTTAAAAAAAAAAAAAAAAAAAAAAATATGATTCCGTTTACAGAAATACTCTGAAATGGACCCAAAAAGCTTATATTATAAACCTAGCAAATTAAATTTTAAAATTTCAAAAGTAGCACATATTTTTGTGAAAACACCTTTTTACCTAAAACAATTGCATATAAATTTAAAACTTTATGTGAGTTTCATTTTTTTTTTTCAAATTAAGGTTTAGATTTCTTCCATTAAAAAGGTTTGAATCATTTTTATGTTGAATTCATGCTCGTTTTTGAAAGAAAAATACATTATGAGTATTTATGGAATACAAATTTAAAAATGATTCAATAGATATACTGATTTAATAAATTTCTACTTATACGGTGTTTGGCCTTTGTGTGATTGCAGGAAGGACGAAGAGTTCATGTTGTAGAAAGAGACTTGTCCGAGCAAGATAGAATCGCTGGTGAATTGCTTCAACCTGGAGGTTACCTGAAGTTAATCGAACTTGGCCTTGAAGGTAGACCAATGAGCTTAACTATTATATAAACTTTGATCGAATTTTATAGTAGTTATGTTAATAGTTAAGCTGTGTGATATATCTTTTGACTGTAGATTGTGTGAAGGAGATAGATGCTCAACGTGTTCTTGGATATGCTCTCTTTAAAGATGGGAAACAAGCTAAAGTTTCATACCCTTTGGAAACACTTGATTCGGATGTTGCCGGGAGAAGCTTCCACAATGGGAGATTTGTGCATAAACTGCGAGAAAAGGCTACTTCTCATTCAAAGTAATCATTCTTTCTTTGTATATAGCTGCTGGATACAAGATTTTGCTTAGTCTAGTGCTTTGTTTGTGATATAATTAAGGGTAAGGTTAGAGCAAGGAACAGTCACGTCATTGCTTGAAGAACACGGAACAGTTAAAGGTGTTCAATACAGAACAAAAGAGGGTAATGAGCTTGTTAGATTATACGCTCCTCTCACAATTGTATGTGATGGTTGCTTCTCCAACTTGCGTCGCTCTCTTTGCAAACCTAAGGTGGTCCCTAAAGTTAATTACTTTGCAGTAAACCCTCCAATTTTGTTTTGTTTCGTGGAACTTACTTAGTTTGACATGTACCTACTCAGGTGGATGTGCCTTCATCTTTTGTGGGTCTTGTCTTGGAGAATTGCGAGCTCCCATTTGCGAATCATGGCCATGTTGTGCTCGGTGACCCATCACCGATCTTGTTATATCCCATAAGCAGCTCAGAAGTCCGTTGCTTAGTCGACATACCTGGTCAAAAACTTCCTCCCATTGCAAACGGTGAATGGCAAAGTATCTGAAAACACGTGTTGCACCTCAAGTACCAAACGAGGTGCGTGAAGCGTTTATCTCCGCGGTTGATAAGGGTAATATCAGAACAATGCCTAACGGGAGCATGCCAGCTGATCCGGTTCTCACTCCTGGAGCTCTTCTTCTCGGTGATGCATTCAACATGAGACATCCTTTAACCGGTGGTGGCATGACCGTGGCAATGTCAGATATAGTCGTACTCCGTGATCTTCTAAGGCCGATTCGCAACCTTAATGACAAAGAAGCATTGTCTAAATATTTGGAAGCCTTTTACACACTTCGGAAAGTAAGCAGCGTTAAAGATAAAGTGAAAAGCTTCTATGTGTTTGGATTTTTTTAACAATGTGGCTTTCTTTTGTGCAGCCTGTAGCATCCACCATTAATACATTGGCGGATGTGTTGTACAAAGTCTTTTTAGCATCTTCAGATGAAGCGAAAGCTGAAATGCGTGAAGCATGCTTCGACTATCTTAGTCTTGGAGGTGTTTGGTCATCTGGTGCGATTGCATTGCTCTCTGGTTTAAACCCTAGTCCTCTGAGTTTGTTTCTCCACTTCGTTTCTGTTGCGATCTACGCTGTTGGTCGTTTAATGCTACCATTTCCTTCGATTAAAAGCTTTTTGCTTGGAGCTAGGATCATCTCGGTAAAGTGGTTCCCTTCCCATCCTCTGAAACATAAGAATCGATTCTGATATATACACATGATCACAAATTTTTGTGATCTTTCTTGCTTGCACAGAGGGCTTCAGGCAACATCTTCCCAATCATTAAAGCAGAAGGAGTTAGGCAAATGTTCTTCCCTCGTACAGTTGCTGCCATATACCGCGCTCCTCCTGCTCAATGATGCAACAGGAGCTACAGAATGATCAAATCCATTCAGGCAAATGCTATAACTTATATATAATACGTCGTCGTTGCTTATTGATAATCATGTGGGTGTTAGGCTTGATAGCTCTGAAACCAGTCACCAGTGTAAACGTAGCTCCTTAAGTATATATCATTGAGAGCTAAATGTGCTGGTAAATTCTTGGATTCTGTTACTACAATATCTTAATCTTTCACCTTTGTCATGCAGAGAAACAACTCTTCAATGACATCATCAAGTGACAAGTGTGATCAGTGATCATCCTTATGGCTCCATCTTCTGTGTTTAGCATCTGGCAATGGATTCTCACTGATCCGCAAGATCTCATGCTCACATTTTTTCTTTAGTGGATTCATGTCTCCATCTTTAGTGGATTCATGTCTCCATAAAATTATAACATGTAAAAGTGTAGTGGGGGACTTCAGACATTCTAAACAAAAACATATACTCTGTACACTGTTTATCAAACAGTTTTTTTAGTTTTTTTTTCTTACAAAATTCCAATAAAAATTGAATATTTCTCGAAAAAAAACAAGAGAGCGTTACAACTTAAAAACAATGTCCCTACCTTATGAAATTATTCATGCATGGTCTCTTGCTGATTTACTCATTTTTCAGCGACAAAAGTAACGTCGCTATCTTATCATTATTCATGGTGTCATCAATTTTTTTTTATATATTTTGTGGTATGTATATTGATGTTGATGGTTGCTATACCAACCACGTGACTCTCGAAATGGTTGCTCCACACCAACCAATGCACTCAACGTGGACAGACGACGACTACAAATGAATTAGCAAACGTTATCTAACCCGTTTTCTTTCTTAGGTAAAAAACTATAAAGAGTTAAAGACCCTTTTCTTTTCCCCATAAGGGACTGATCAATATTTATAAACTAAAGGAGAATGAGTTTGACTCAGAAGTTGCTGCTTCTGCTTCTACTCGTCTTGAGTAGCCGTCATGTTGATTCTGGCTCTATTGTCAAGTTTCTTCCTGGTTTTGAAGGCCCTCTTCCATTCGAACTCGAAACCGGGTTTGGAAATTGTAACTTCTTCTTCATCTTTACCAATGCAATTATGTGTTTGGAGTTAGTAAAGTAGTCATTCTTATGAAATGAAGGTATATTGGTATTGGTGAGGAAGAGAATGTGCAAATGTTCTACTATTTCATCAAATCTGACAAGAATCCAAAAGAAGATCCTCTTCTAATATCGTTAAATGGAGGACCTGGATGCTCTTCTCTCGAAGGCCTGCTTTTAGAGAACGGTAAATTTACTAAAATTTTATTTTTGTCGCTAAGCATCGTTTTCAATGAGTTGTTTAAAGTGGTAAAATTGGAAAACAAAAATAGGACCTTTGGGTTTCAAGGATGAGATTTACAATGGAAGTGTTCCTACTTTGGTTTCTACTGCATATTCATGGACAAAGGTAGAATAAAGTATGTTCGATCCTATTAAAACACAAACCCAATAATCTATATAATTTTTTTTTTAATTTTTTTTTGTTGACAAATTTCTTAGGTGGCGAATATAATATTCGTGGATCAGCCTGTTGGAGCTGGCTTCTCCTACTCAAAAACTCCACTTGGTAAAACGAGTGACACAAGTGAAGTTAAGAAGGTTCATGAGTTTATTCAAAAGGTAATAACAAACATAATTGTCTTTTTAAGAACTTAATTGTGTTTTGAAGTTAAAAAAGATCCATGAGTTTAATTTTTATTATCATTTATTTGTCTTTGTGCCTTAAAGCTCATCTAGAGTGTGTTTTATTTATTTATTTATGCAGTGGCTAAGTAAGCATCCAGAGTTTTATTCCAATCCATTTTACGTTTTTGGAGATTCTTATGCCGGTATGATTGTTCCAGCTCTCGTTCAAGAAATCTCAAAAGGTAAATTTTTATGTTTTTTAATCAAGTCATTCTAGCGCCATGTTTTCTCACGTTTAACAATATATACACTATGATGCAGGAAATTATATATGTTGCAAACCTCTTATAAATCTACAGGTCATTAATACTAAACAGCTTCTTATATTATGTACATTTTCTCAAATACTAAAAGATTCATAGTAATATTATATATTTTCTTATACACAAAACAGGGTTATGTGCTCGGAAACCCAATAACATATACTGAATTTGAGACAAACTATCGTATTCCATTTGCTCATGGAATGTCACTAATCTCTGATGAACTCTACCAGGTATAAAACTATATGCAATGCTTATAGTTTGTTATTTTGTCACTTGGCTCTGAGTTTGACCTTTAATTTTTCTATCCTCAAGAAACTCAAGTGATATAACAATGTATGAAACTTTTTTTTACAGTCACTAAACAGAATCTGCAATGGAAATATCGGAAATGTGGATCCACGTAACGCAGAATGTTTGAAACATGTTGAAGATTTCCATAAGGTACACACTCTTTAATTTGATCAATGTTTTTTTTTTTCCTTGGTACTAAATATCATCACTAATTCAATTTTTGTTACAGTGCACTGACAAACTAAATACACAACATATATTAATACCTAATTGCGATGAAGTAAATACACAACTTACATCTCCTGACTGTTATGTAAGTAACATCTCTTCCCTCCATCCAAAAGGGTTGGGAAAAACATATGTACATATCTGAAATGTTAGTTATTAATATATTTGCAAGGTTGCTTTTGCAGTATTATGTGTATTTTCTTCTTGAAACCTGGGCCAACAACGAGAGAGTTCGAGAAGCTCTTCATGTTAATAAGGTATATGCCAAGTTTGGTTTAAGATCATTGACGAATTGTGATGATATAAATAATTCACGATCTATAATTTACAGGGGACTAAAGGACAGTGGCAACGATGTAATTGGACTATTCCATACGATAACAACATTATAAATAGCATACCATATCATAAGAATAACAGCATCAGCGGATACCGATCTCTAATTTATAGGTTTGAGTTGATTAACCTTCAAAATTCAAGAGTTTATAACTTCATATAATTTGTGCGGTTTATGGTGAACAGTGGTGATCATGACATTACAATGCCTTTCCAAGCAACTCAAGCTTGGATAAAATCTCTAAATTACTCCATCGCTCATGATTGGAGGCCTTGGATGATAGAAGCTCAAATCGCTGGGTAAATATTTTCTTTTCAGTTTTTGGTTTCTCTTGTTCATTCCTGTTCTCATCGTATCAAAAACTTGAAAATCAATTTTGCCTTCTTTTCTTGACAGATACACGAGAACGTACGCCAATAAAATGACATTTGCTACTGTTAAAGCAAGTCTTCTCGCTTCAACTTAACACTTTTACTATCATTGCATTACAAAGAAAGTGTTTATTAAATATTTTGAGCGTTTTGATTATAGGGAGGTGGTCACACGGCAGAGTATAAACCAGACGAGACCTTTCTCGTGTTCCAAAGATGGATTAGTGGCCAGCCTTTGTAAGCGAGGCTTATGGTTTTTACGTATATTTATCTACTAGCTAGGTACTAGTAGAATATACACTATACATGTATATTTGTTGTTCGTTATATGTTACATCTTTGTGTGTTTTGATGTACTCCAAATTGTTATTGTGTAGAGTAGATAGTGTTTAATAAGCTTTTCTTTTATCACACGTTTCAGTTGTACACCAATTTCCATGGTATACATATATTTTTCATCAATATATATATTTTTTTCTTATATGATCAATAAAGAGAAAAAGCTAAACGAAAGACCAATTTATCTGGTTATGATTGAAAAAAACTTAGATACCAACTGAATATCAATTGTATCAAGAACATATTACCAAAAGATCAGGGCCGGTCCAACATTATCTCTAACTGATACATTCCATATCTGGTTCCGGTCCAACAAATTCACTAACCAAACGTCTCGCAGAGAAGCTTGTGAACAAGAACACACAAACTGTTTCATTAAAATGAATTGGACATAATCAATTGGCTTGGATACATACCCTTTTATAACTCAAGGATTTACAAAACCGGACTAAACCCGAAACCAACTAAAATGATTCAACCGTTGGAGTTCTTAACAGCGCCAGTAACTTCTCAAACCTTGATCTGAGATTATACGACCAAGATACAACAACCATGAAAAGGATTGATGTTTTACTAGGTACTATTAAATTTTCCTTTTTTACAAAAAGAACTCTCTTATGGCCCATAAAAAATCTTGGACTCTAATCAATGGCATATTTTGCTTATGCCACGGGCCAGCCCGACCAAAGATGCTTTCCAATGTAGACAGTAGGTGATATTTGCTTTTCACAGACGAAAAAAGGCTATTCTGAACATTTTGGTTTTTGACATGGAATCATTTCAAGACAATCTAGTTGATTTTTTTTAAGAAATATTTGTGCTATTATCTATCGTCTTACCATACATCTCTATAGTTTTCTTGCATAAATAATGCTACTTCTTCACCACCGGTAATATCTTCCCTGCAAAACAGAACTGGATCAATTTGATCGCAAACTGTCCGGTTAGGTTCAGTTTGGTTCAAGAGAAGGGGAGAAAGACGAACATTGCCCAATAGGCGTTGTTACAATATTGCCATTTGATATGAAAATTATTAGTTAACAGAAATGTTCTATTCAGATTTTCCAAATTTACCATTGTTATATCGATGATATATTAGTTTTTGTTGCCTTTTATGTAAATATTTGCGTATATGTAATGTACTTTTAAATTTCATGTAAAATGTATAAGCTTCAAAATGGTTCAGGATATTAACGTATTCCGTATGTTTTATTTGGAAAACAAAAATATACGAAGGTCATAAACTAGTGGAATATAAACAGGAGACCAACGAACAACAATATTCAGGAATTGTTCAGAACTGTATTATATGAATCGATTTATAGATTTAGCGAACACGACACAACCATTAAAACAATTATTGAGTTAACAGTTTGCATAATAAATCTAAAGAAGAAGAGCTTTCAAAGCAAGGCTGGATATATTTTGTTGGTAACTCTTGTTAGAACTTTGTATTTATTGCAATGTTTCTAAAATGTCCTTCTTTCAGTAGAAGATCAATTTCAAAGCAACACTCCATGCTTTAGTGTTGTGTATACTCTTTCTATTTTTAAGATTGACCCACTTTTGGCATCTCTTTATGTAGACAAAATTATGTCTATAATTCGAAACTGAAAATAACATATCATGTGTAAGTGTAGATTTTACTTAAACATTGTTAGTCCTACTCGTTCGAGAAATGTTGTTATAGTGGTGCGATGTTGTTATAGTGTCACTGTATATGGGTTCGAGTGAGGTATTTTGTTCGGAGAAAAATGGTCAAGTGGCTTTTTTTTTTGGGTCAACTATTTTGGCTTCTTTAAATTTTGTAAATTAGATTTAGTTGAAGGGAATGCGTTATTTTCGTTGACTACACGATGTGAAGACAATGTAGTTATCAATTGATCGACCAAGCTTCAAGTTGTTAGAAACACACCAAAGCCGTGTTATACTTCTATGAAATTCCGCTTGTATTATATTTTTTCGTTGTGTTTTATTTACTGAGATTGATAGTTTGTTTTTTTTCCACGAATCATCTTATTAAAAAGAATTTAAGGTTTTGGTAATTATTAGCATATTGGATGGAATTTGAAAACATTGCCATGACAAAACTAAATCAATTTTATAATTTGTTTTATTAGAGAGTAAGAGGCAAAAGAAGACAAATGGAAAAATTGGAGAAGGGTCCTACGTTATGGAAGAGGTGAAGCAAGACTTGGTCCATATTGTAATGTCTCTCTATAGCTCCTAGGAAATTTGCAAGGACCGGGACAACGTGAACGTCATCTTAGTTGTCACTCATTTTCAATTGGACCCTCTTGAGTCTCGATCCTAATCATCATCATAAAAATAACAATAATTAATTAGCACGCACATTTTTGTATATATGTTTTGGAACTCGGAATTGGTGTTTGTCTTTACTTGGGAGCACTCACTTGGTGTTGTTAAGCTTCAAAGGTTACAAAGCTCATCAAAAGATCATATCAAGTAAGGCATTGTCGAAATGTATACATTTATGCGTATGGATCCAATTTGTTTGAGGGACCCGAAAATCACCGGTTAGTGGAATATTAACCACTAATTTTTCGTAATTATACAATTACGGTTTTATATACGTTACACTTTTACTTTCCATTTAATTCTATGGATTCTAGTAGACTTTGCTCCCACGTGATGAGAAATTAATTAGCATCGGAGTTGGATTTTCCAAGGTGGATGAGGAGAGCACTTTGGACCACTAGACCATTGTTGAACTTCTGTCAAAGAAGATTGATTACAAACAAAAATGTATATAAAATGTATAATTTGAAAAGTATTTTAAAATGAAAAACAAATATAGATGACAAAACTTAATTTGAAAACTCTATATGTTTTGGTTGTATTTTTTGACAAACAAAAATATATAAAAATGAACACTTCCAATGTACTATACATGTTTCATTTGAAAACGCTACATGTTTTGGTTGTATTTTCTGAAATGATATCATAGTAGTTTAGTAGTATGACGTATAGTAACGACATTTCATTTAATTGTGAAACTGCTTTTACAACATGTTCCATCTTACTACTATCTTTTTACTAGTGCATTTTGATTTACAAACCATATTATCTTTTGTTAAAATCTGGAAATTTTGGTTTAAGATCTGCAAAGATATAATAATATATGCTATGGTTAATTATTTGTGTATCAGGTTTTCTAATCCAATAGAACTAAGACCTGCGTCACAATTCGCCAGTATGTGATATTAATGTAGTAACATTTATGAAAATGAAAGACCTTTTTGCAGAAAAAAAAAATACATTTACAAAAATGAAATTTGTTTGATTTTGCATAATGGATATAGATCCATGTGGTGTGGGTTATGATGAGACACTCATTGAATCAGGGAGCTACAAACTAAGGGCTAATTAATTGGGTCTGTTGAGCCATAATCATCATCGTCGGCCATTTTCTTCACTCTCCATTTTTAATTTTGACACTTTTTTTTTTGAACCACACATTTTGTGTCTTTTCATTTTGACACTTTTGGACGTTAACTATAAAGCAAACTTAATGAACTAAATTATGCTATATTTTTTCTTAACAAAAAATCTAAGTACTGATAAACGGCAAATTTATGGAGTACCTCTAACACGAACCATACACATAAACATACGAATTTTTGAAGTCTATTGAAAAAAAAAAAAAGACATAAAAGTATAGTCATGGGTCGACATGTGTTTCAAACTGCAAAACACGTAGTTAGTTTTGTAATTCGGTATCATAAGTTTGTTAAATTCGGGGAATACAATTGGAGAACGAGGACTAGCGAACAACTTAATATGATTTTGACATCTCAAAGTTAAATTAATTATTGGTTCGGCCTTCGAAACTTTCTGTTTAAGAACATTACTTGCCTAAAAGAACACGCATGGTACGTGTTATGGTCGTAATGGTACGACACGTTTCTGACGATATAACTAACTAGACTCTGTTTATAGTAACGTAGCTTGGTTCAAAGTTTTGATATCGTCTTCTTCCCAGTAGATAATTACAAACAGTCTAATTTTTTGCGTGTACACGCCACTAAAATTGAATTTTGTAGGGTAAATATCGACACTAAAATATCATTTGTTATAAGCTCGACAATTTCAAGCGATATGTCTTTGAAATTATATTTTAGTGATTCAGTAAACATTTTTCCAGTCATAACGTGTATAACAGTGTTTTAAGAAAATATATCATAACAATGTTGAAGCTTTATTCAATAATTTATAAATCTATACAAAAATACTTATGGTGTGATATCTTTGGTTAACTTAACTGTAGTAAGCAAATTAGAGTTCTAGCAGTACACTCTAGCTAACGAACCCAACCATTCTAAATATCTAATAGAGAAAAATATAAGAAAACAAAATAGGAGTCAGAACTGTTTATATTCACTAAGTAGTACTACTAAAGTTATTTATATATAATTTTCTTAACATACTGATACTCATAAATATTTTGAATTGTACTAATGTTAAGTATGCAACTTTTACATGATATAATCAAATGCTACTGTCGTAAAAAACACAAGTGGTAATACTTAAAAAAAAAAAATGGAAATATGTTAATAATATTATAACATGCAATACCGTTGCCGAAATATTTATCCAAACAAAAATTCTTTATCTAAAATACATATTTAGTTTTATTTTTATTTTGGAGTTTTTCATCATGTATATATATTTGTTAATTGTTGGAGAGAGAAATTCTGATTTTTTATCTTTGCAAAACGTATAGAAAAGTTTGCAAAAGGGTTATAGAACGTAGAAGAAATAGCCGACATGGGACACAAGCGAGGGCTACCACGGGGGAGCAACGTGGACCAACATGATAGAGGGTCCAAATAGTCCCCAAATTGTAACATTGACATGTTTCTCCTTTTTTTCTTATATATT